CTATGAATCGTATCGACGTGCTCTACACAACGGTAAAATCGAAATTCCCAAATTTCTTCCCAGTCAAAACGTCAACTTTTATAGTAATAAAATATTCCAGGAGCAAATTGTCTTTTATCTGAATAAATTAATAATTAAAAATTTATTCAGGACCAGGTTGTTACAACAAGTATATACAATTTGCGCCATGAACCAAGATCGATCGTGAGCAGAGCTTTAAGGGAGCTGCAAAGTCCTCTTTAGCCACTCACCAATTGTTGTAATACTTTGTCTATTTATTTTATAACATAAAGGGCCTCCAAAGCAAACTCCCTGAACCCAGTTGCATAAAAGAAAGAGATGTTCTTCAAATTCAGGAAAGTCTCTGCATAAAGGGCAAAGAGGCGAGGGACCAAGGTGTCTCCTATGCAGAGCCTGACGAGTCGATAAACCACCCTTGAAAATTCTCCACAAATTTTGTTTCAGTTTTGGCACTAGCTTCTAATTCCATATTTACTTCCACATAATCTTATCTATTGTCCAAGAGCCAGAAGGACTACTGGTGTTAGAATTAAGAGAAGCATTAATGATTAAATTATACCTAGATTTTACAGCAAATCTTCCATCTCTATTGAAAGGCCACACCATTCTGTTAGCCTCAGTCCCGTCTCCTAAAGGCAGAGCTTTAATCAAGCAAGCATCCCTGACATTGACTTGTTCATCAATAGCATTCACATTCCATACACAGGTTGAAGGTTTATAATTGTTTCAACCTTTTCCTTCTCATTTACCTCCACACTTGTCTTTGGCAATAAAAGGCGATCAGGGGATCAAGGAATCCACTTTTCAGTCCACAATTTAGTCCCACTTCTATCCAACACTTGCCACCGCACATCGTTGACAATGACGTCCCTTCCTGCCAGCAAGCTCGACCAAGCCCATGAAGACCTAGCCCCTTTTTTTGCTTTAAGGAAGTCATCGTTCAGAAAGTATCGACTCTTAATTAATTGAGCCCAAAAAGCATCTGGCTCCATCATCAATCTCTAGCATTGCTTGGCTAATAAGGCAGTATTGAAATCTCTTAGGCTCCTAAAACCCATCCCTTCTTCCTTCTTTGGCAGCCTCAAATCCTTCCAAATAATCCAATGAATTTTATTTGCTTCCTGGTTATGTCCCCCCCAAAAGTTGGCAAGAATGCTATCAATCTCTTTGCAGAAGCCTATGGGAAAAGAGAACACTGACATGGGATAAGAGGGAATAGCCTGAGCGACCGACTTTATCAGCACTTCTCGACCTGCTTGTGTGAGTAAACTTTGCTTCCATCCTTGCACCTTATGCAAGATTTTCTCCTTTACAAAGGTCAAGGCCTCCTTTTTTGATCTCCCATATATTGTTGAAAGACCAAGGTATTTTCCAGGGTCATCTGTGATATTTACGTTAAGAGCTGCTCTCATCTCTTCCTTCACTTCAGCCAAAGTATTAGGACTGAAAAACAAATTTGATTTTTCCAAATTGACAACTTGACCCAAGGCCTTGCAGTAAGACTTGAGAATTTGGCTCACCACTATACAACTTTGACTCATAGCTTTGAGAAATAGGAGGGAGTCATCTGCAAAAAAATAGGTGAGTTAAAGTCAGTCCCCTCCTGCCAAAAAATTTAAACCTTTAAGGAAGCCTCTCACTGTTGCATGGTTAAGCATATAAGATAAGACATCACAGACAATTATGAATAGATATGGAGATATAGGGTCCCCCTGGCGAATTCCCCTCGATGGCTTGAAACCACCCCCTGTCTTTCCATTGATTATCATAGAGAATTCCACTGAAGGAACACAGTTCATCACCTTTTGCACCCAAGTCTCTGCAAAACCCATTGTCAATAACACTGCCTGGACCACTCAATTCTATTGTAAGCTTTATTTATATCCAACTTCAAAGAGTGGAAGGCCTCATGTGCAATAAAAATATTATCTTGAACTTGCCTTCCAGGAATAAACGCGCATTGTTGGGGAGAAATGATTGCATTTAAGTGGGGTTGAAGGTGATTAGCGAAAATCTTCGAGATTACCTTGTAAGAATAGTTGCACAGGGCAACAGGGCAGAATTGAGTGACCAACTCCAGGTTCAGAACCTTTGGTGCAAGAGCAATCTCTATTACATTCATAGCAGAAATGTTTTCGTTCTCTGAGAAAAATCTTTTAACCAGCCCACACATATCCTCCCCAATAATGCTCCGATACTTTTGGTAAAAGATACCAGAGAAACCGTTAGGCCCTGGGGATTTTAGGGCCCCCATTTGAAAAATAGCATGTCTAATCTCCTCATCATTTATTGGGGCCATCAAGCTTGAATTAATATCCTCAATGATGATTGGAGAGACAAAGGATAAGATGTCACCCCAGTCTCTCTAACCTTCAGAAGTAAACAAGTTTTGGAAGTATGTCTCAATAGTGTTACGAACCTGAGCATCGTTACACTCCCAGTCTCCATTTTGGTTTTTTATCCAGGCAATCCGATTTCTCCTCTTTTTATGAACCGTACTATTGTGGAAAAAGGCTGTATTTGCATCTCCTTCTTTGAGCCACTTGGTTTTCGCCCTCTACTTCCAATACATTTCCTCACTCCTCTAAACATCATTGAGCTTGTTCCTTACCTGCACAATTTTCCCATAGTTTGCATCCCAGTTCAGCTGAAGTTGATCAAGCTCCACCAACAAGGAATTTGCAATTTTACGATTATTTAAGAATTTCCCATCACTCCACTTTTGCAAATCCTCATGACACCCCCTAATTTTCCTTCACCACACATGCATTCTATTTCCATGAAATTCCCTTCGCCAGGTTCTGCCAATCACTTCTCTACACTCCGGATCAGAAGTCCAAGAAGCCTCAAACTTAAAAGGCTTACACCCTCTTCTTATTCGAGATTCTGTCTCCACAAGGATGGGACAATGGTCAGAGCCCACGACAGGCAGCTGAGTAATGGAAGAATTTGTCCACACTTCTTGTCGTTGGGTATTAATTAAGCCCTTGTCTAGCCTCTCTTGAATGAGCACATCATCCGCTCGTTTTCCACTCTAGGTGAAAGCTTGTCCTTGATGCCCCAAATCCATAAGTTGTATCTTATCCATGAAGTCATGTAAATATCTCATTCTTCTGCTATCAATAGCCCGCCCACCAGTTTTTTCAAATGCCCATAAAATTTCATTAAACTCTCCAATACATATCCATGGTATCATCATAGATTGTAGAGTTGTTCCTAACCAATCCCAGAAAGCCTCTTTTTCCTCCCGGTAGGGCGTCCCATAAATCCAAGAGGCTCTAAATTTTGCTCATGTTGCTACAAATTCCACCCTGGTGTTTGATTTTCCACTCACCTCTAACTTGACTCTGTCATCCCACCAAAGGCATAAACTGCTAAAATATGAAAACTATAAGAGAATATTTGTTTGTGGGAATTTTCTATGTATTCTTCTCCTTGTAGGAGGTCATATTTATAATACAACAAAACCTGAATGGGCAAGTAAATAATAAATTCCTAAATCTATTTACAGTAGGAAATCAGGAATTAAAGTAAATCAATTACAAATAAAATAGGAATCCTTGGTGTGTAAGGAAAGTAAGTCAATATCCACAAGTCACGCCAACACCTATAAGCTCATTGAAAGTTACATCAAGCTCCCGTAGCTGTGTACAGTGAGATATATTAGTTGGAATCTTCCCGCCGAAAGAATTTCGAGACAGGGTGAGATATTGCAGGCTTCTCAGACGACCCATTTCTTGAGGAATTTCACCATGAAAACTATTGCTGTCTAGGTTGATTCTAGTAAGATGAGTAAGATTTCCAATAGAAGGTGGTAAGGAGCCTACCAGTTTTTGAGAACTCAGGTTCAAAATTACGACTCTTTTATTGGAACATGCAACGCCAACCCAACTGCAGAAATGAATGGAATCATTCCATGAGCTCATGAGATGGAGAGGATCTTGAGTGATTCTTTTCTTCAAGTCCAGCAGCGCCAGCCGATCAGTTTCATTTCCAAAAGTAATACCACTGGGTAGAGTTGCAGAATTCGAAGGTGTGCTCATGCATAAACGAATGAGCCCATGAAGGAATGTAAACAAAATCAGGCTGCCACCATGAGTAGTGCGTGAATGCTCCATCCCTTTTTTTTCACACAGATCAAATCAGAAACCAAGTTTGGTTTTACACGAATGCATAAGAAAGAAGAAACCTCCGCTCCGTATATGGGAAATAAATATAAAAATAAGGAACCAAATTAAAGTCAAGCTTTCACCGTGTCTATCAGGGCCCATCGATATGAATGGGAGAAATTGATGACAGTGATTTGGTTGATGAATGCACGTGTACAAGAAATTGATGACACCGTGTCTCTGTTACTTAATTATTTTGGATTCTGCTCTATCTGGTGATGTTATCATTTGGTTGTCTCTTCTCTGTGTCGCATCTGTACCTGCAAGTATTGACTTTTGGCCAAGACAGACCGCAACTCCCTCGAAAAGGCTATAACGAGGATTTAAAGTGAGTAGGTTATTTGAGGAGGTCAAATCTCACCATCAATAAATGCAAAGAAATCATGGGACTTAAATATTTTAAATGTTTTGACGGTCGGATCGGTCTCCTTAAATAACATCCTCACTTTAACTCCTCATTGTAGAAGCTCCCAAACTATCCGAAATTTTGAATCAATTAACTTTTGGTTTTGTAACTGGATTTCTTGGTTGGCCCAAAAGCCCAATGGGCCAATTCAGCTATTAGCTTGCTCTCATTTTTGCCAAACTAGCTTGCAGATGCTACGGTGTACTATGGTGTATTGGATCAATCAAGTAGAACACGATAAATTAAGTTGGAGTTGAGTAAGCCAGGACCAAGAAGCCCAGGCATAAACAGAAGAAAACATCCTTACACTACATGGATAACATCCTTATTCGAATAGTTTCTTGCAAATTGATAAGGTTAACGATTGAGATCGGATAACAAACTTTGCCATATCTTGCATAATGCTAGCTCCTTTTTCTTCTTCCTCTAAAATTGAGATATGAGTCTCTAGTTGCCTTCATTTTGTTCACAACAACATTCATTTGCATTTGCTCTGATGGCGATAATGCAGAGCATGAGAGTCCTATATGAATTTGTGAGAGTCCGTTTTCTTAAATGTTGATTTAAAAAATAAAAAAATAAATGTTATTATAAATACTCAAGTAATTATCTTGGTAAGAAGGAAATGTATATTTATAATTATTTTACGTTTATAATACCATTTCAATAGTTATATGAATATTATTTCAATATATATATATATATATGTGTGTGTGTTTTTTCAAATAAAAAGGGTTTGTTTAAACTATATGTCTATTCATTATTCCTTGGGATGTCATTAGATGGTTATTGGGTGCTTTATATACATATATGTTAATAACATGGATTAAGAGTTTAGATGTGGCATCCTTACATTGTTTTTTTGGAGAGAAAGATTGTTCTCTCCATGCATTACCATGCATTTGGACAGCTTATGCTTACAATTTGGTGACTAGGCTTTATCTTAGCTTGAGGTGGAGTTTACAATTTCAATAGGTGTCACAGCCCTTATAAAGAAATCTCCTGGCATTGACACATAGCAGTTTATATAAAAGAGTGGCAACCAAGTTATCTATTTGTATGGATAAGATAATGGCCTTTGTTATTATCCTCTCCAATGTTAAACGCCATCTCACCACCTATAAATAGGAGTGTTAATGAAAGGAAGAGATATCATGCAATGTGTGTGTGTGTGTGTGTGAGAGAGAGAGAGAGAGAGAGAGAGAGAGAGAGAGAGAGAGAGAGATTTTAGTGGCCTTATGCGTGATATTATAATTTGATGGATGTTCTTGATATTGGGTGTTTGCGTGTTGTTAATTATTTAATTAATGTTGGCATGATTATAATTTATATGTACATTGATGATATTTTAAATGATTACTTTGGTTTTATGAGATATGTGAAAAGAAGAACTAAATTATGTCATGGAAATTATTTGGAGTTCTTGGGTTGGGAAAATAATGGTGGAAAAGAAGGTAATGAGAATGATCTTTTGTGTAGTTGAGTCTAACTCTTAGTAGGTACGGGATCTCAGGGATCTCACAGTGCACATGATTTTTATTGGATTCTACTCTATCTGGTGATGTTATCATTGGGTTATTAGCTCTTGACTTTGATCTCTTTGTTGTCTCTTCTCTATGTCGCATCTAGTCTTTCGCTTTCTATCTGCCCACCTTATCACTGTGGTTCTACAAGTATTGACTTTTGGCCAAGACAGACCGCAACTCCATAAATATATGAAATTTTGAATCAATTAGGGCTTGTTTGATATTCAACTTGAATCCAACTTTTTAAACTCAAAAACAGAATTTGAGTCCAAAACAAAGAAAACCTGTTTGATAGCCCTATTTTTAAAAACTCGAACTCAAGAACAACTAAAAATCACCCAAATTATTAAAAACAAAAAATATGTTTTTTCAGTTTTTTTTATTAGCAACCCACAAGTTCTCAAATTTTTAAGATTTGAAAACAGTTTTGAAATTGCATACCAAACAACTTTTTGAATCTTAAACATAAATTTAGGGTAATGATTTTCGCACTTCAATTTTATCCACTTACACTCCATTTAAAAAAGGAGTGTAAGTGGATAACATTGGAGTGAGAAAATCACCACTTTAAATTTAAGAACTCCTTATTTTTAAGAAAAATCAAAGTTTTTGAGTTCCCTATTTGAATAGGATACCAAACGTCTCTTTAACTTTTGGTTTTGTGTCTGGACCTCTTGGTTGGCTCAAAAGCCCAATGGGCCAATTCTGCTCTTATTTCTGCCATGGTGATTTATTTTCACCAAACTAGCCTTGCAGAGACTACGAAGAAATGGTAGAAACTCATACCTGGAGGAATGTAACAGATGGAACCCTTTAGCCCAGCAGAAATGGTTTGACTTTGCGAGGAACTATCTGATGCTTCCAAGAGGAACCTTGCTAAACCAAAGTCACCAACATGGGCTACCATATCTTCACCAAGAAGAACATTGCTTGGCTTTTGTTTCACAACAGTGGTGGAGATAATCTAATCCAGAAGCAATTAACTATACAATGAGACCAATTAATATCTATAAAGTATAAATTAATGCAACTAGCTAGAAGGGGTTTTTTTTAGAAAAAGAAAAAAATAGTATAGCCGTTGGCTATACTCGGGGATTTGTTTTTAATCACAAACGAAAAGCCGCCCGGCTATACTACGGTTTTTACTAAAAATAGTTTAGCCGGGCGGCTATACTATTTTTGACAGGTAGCGAAATGGCCACTAGGCGCCAGCGGCTGGCCCATTTTGCTTATAGTATAGCCGCATGGCTATACGATTTTAGACACATGCCGAAATGGGTGCTAGGTCCTATACACCATGCGGTCATCTTTTGCTTTTTATAAATAGTATAGCCGACTTGCTATACCCAAATATTTTTAATAATAAAAATAGTACAGTCGGGCGGCGATACTAAGGTTTTTAATTATAAAAAAACGTATAACCGCTCGGCGCGACTAGTTTTGACACGTGGCGAAATGGGCGATAGGAGCCAAACGGTTCCCTTTTTAAAATAAAAAGTACCGCCGTCCGGCTATACTCTGTGTCTTTTTTTAAAAAAAAGTATAGAGGCTGTTTAATGACGCAAATGCCCCCTTTTTTCCGTTATATTTTCTATGCCGAACAGTAAAAGGCCGAAACTGCCCTCATCTGAACGCTTCCCTTTTGCCCCTCCCCTTCGGATCCTCCTGTTTCGTTCGCAGAGACGCAGCGTCCCTTTCGAACCAGCATGGTTGGGCTGGTTGGGGGACAGCCATGGAAGATCTGGCTTCGCTGTTGAGGATGCATCTGGGGCCGTTGATTTCCGTTTGGGGGGTTGTGCTGCGAATCGGACCGCCCTTTTGGTCTTCGTCTGATCGATTTTCCTCTCAGATGTTGCGTTCGAGTGTTGCCTTTCCCGCTGCGCTTCATCCTTCTCATCGCACGGGTTTAGCTCAAAAGGATTTCTAGGTTTCGTAAAAGAAGGTTGGTTTTAACGTTCTTTTGGTTTTCTAGTTTGGTTTATTCATTTGTCATGTTGAAAAACTCAATTAAGGGTCGAGATTTCTAGTTTTCGAAATTCTTCCCTTTTTACTTTCACCAAAAAGATCAGATTGAAACTATGATGCCTCATTCAATTAAGGGTCGAGATTTCTAAGTTTCTCTAAACTTGGCTTTCCGAAACAGAGAATATGATTATATGTCAAATATTACATTGTCTTTTTTCAAAATTATTGGCAAGAGATGTAGCCAGAATGAACAACTATAATTCTAAGAGCCATTTACTTAATCTAAAATGGCAAGAAAGAGTCCTAAAACCCCAGCAGAGGAATGAGCTTAGTCAAGTATCTGCATCTATTTCACATCTATATAGGCAAGTTGCGAGCTTTAAGGCTACATTTATGTTCCCTTCCTTTACAGTCAACGTGTTCGTAGTCTTAATTTTGTATGTTTTGCTATTTTAAATTGCACCTCTTGGCACTTTTTGAAAAACTTATATACTTATTGGGACAGAGAGAGAGTGAGAGAATAAAGGTAGGAAACCACTATGAAGTAGAGATTAAATCAAGTTCCAAAAGAAATTGATTATAATGTAGTAGTTTCCTGTTAGAAACCAATTTCTGCAAACTAAAAAATACGTAATTCCCCTAGAAGTTCCCACCAGACAAGAATACAAGTATCATGCCCTGTTAATTTGGCCAGGGATAATGCTATTTTCTGGTACCTGGTTACATGATTGCTGCCGAGGGAGCCCATTATGGTCAATAATAGGTTTATACTAACTTCGGTTTTTCCGCTCCTCATCAGCTCTCAGTGACACATATCCATGATCAACCATCGTGTGAGTGAAGAAGGAACATGAAAAACTTAGCATTTATTAAGCAACCCAAAAATCAGTATATATGTCAGGCAATGCGAGTGACAAATAGGGCACATAACAACTTAGTTGGAGCAAATGTTGACACAGAGATAGTTTGCTCCAAACAACAAAGTATTGGCTGGTTTACAAAAGCTTTATATGGAGATTTGTAACTGTGGCAGATCCCTGGCCTTTTCAATTACTTATAAGATTTCTTCATATAAAGCCCTTTGTTTAATATCTGTTTCTATTGAGGTCCCTTAGTTTTTGGTGGGTGTTGGCGTGTAAGTGTGTTTTCTTCCCGTTATTGACACTGAATCCATTTTTCTGGGAGGCCATAACCGTATAAAGTAGGTATAAATTTGGTCAAAATGCTTCTGTAGAGGACCGTTGTGTATGACATGTATACTTATCTTTGAGAGGTCTGTCATTGGAATGCATAATTGTATCCGAAAGCTTCCCGTGATGAACTTTAGGTCAAACTCATAAAGACAGAAGATTTAAATTCGTAAAGAAGGGGTAGTGTTCAAGCTATATCCCAGGTTATTATTTCAAATCTTTGCTCTGTCATGTTTTAAAGGTTTAAATTGTTTGTTAGGGTTTCTCAATGTGGGTGTTTGATTTCCGAATTTTAATTCTTCTCACTTTCTAAGTTTGAAACCTACCTTCATTATCTGGTTGGAGTTGTTGAGACAACAAAAACCAGATTGTAGATTCAGTTGGGATTGTTGGGAGATAAGAATGGGAGATCTTTTTTGGCTGGCTCTTTGTTAGTTGGGATTTTTTTTTTCCTCTTCTTTTCTTAATGCTGCTTAATTGCTGTTTTGCTTTAGCAAAGTGTTGAGTTTGTTCGCATTAATTTGATCTTTCTGTTAATAGAGCATAGGAATTAGCTAACAGCACCATATGAAAATGGGTTTAATTTTCTTTGGGTTTATAGTGGACAAGTTGATTATTTAAAAGGGTTTTTCTTCAAGAACAAACAGAGAGTGTAATTTAAGAGAAATAAAAGGAAACTAATCTGACAGAGGGAAAGTTTTATTTAGAAATTGACTTAAGTTATGTATGAGATGGATGATTTTTATCTCTTTAAAATAAAATTGTAGTCATGGACCATTTGAATTGATTAAAGAGAGAAAAAAAGGCATTGGTTTGAAAATACTACATGCAAAACATACCTGAGTATAACAACAACACACAACTTGGTTGAGGTCATCTGAGACCGTTGTCAGAGTAAAGGCTTTAGACTATTAGACAATAAAACTTGCTCGCCTTATGGTTTAAATAATTTGAGGAGGTCTAATTCTGTTGGATAACGACTTGCAAAGTCTCAGCATTGACCAACATTGTGAATGTTTCGTAAATCCTTGAGCAGTAACCTAGGGGAGTCTAGATTGTCTAAAAAAACCTCCTTAGGGTCAGTTGCTTTGTTCAAATATATAATATATTTCCATTGTTTCTAGCAAATGCTACTTGCTTTGGTGTACAACTTTATTGTTTTTAGATGTGGATAGATCTAGAATGCTTTTGTATCAATTCTTTGTTTATGTTCTGTAGAATAACATCATATGCTGGCTTTGCTAACATTGCAAATTATTTTTGGAAGTTTTATATTATACATAATTATTAGGGGTTATTGACTGAAATGGTCCCCCAATTTTCGCTCCAGTCTCATTTTGGTCCACCAACTAAAATTTTCATTTCAACCTTCCTTCAACTCTCCATTTAGTATCAAATTGGTTCTATCGTCAAAATATGTCAATTTTATTGTTAAATTGAGGGGTAAAACTGTCCATATACAACTATCAAACTATCCTGACTCATTCCCCATCTCACAACTCCATCCCCCATCTCAGCCTCCCTCATCCTCAACCCAGCCCCCCTTCCCTAACACCCTCGATCTCTCCAATAAAGTAGCAACTTCAAGCCCAAAGGAGCCTCGCAAATCAAGCCAACTTGATTCAAATATGTCATACCCAACAAAAACAACCCCATTTCAGATTTGGGTTGGTGGAGAGAGAGAGAGAGAGACACCACCATTCATAAGTTTTCGTTTTTGTAGCTTTTGGGTGGTAATTTTCGTGGATCATAAATTTGAATCATAAATTTTGGGGGTGGGAGAGAGAGGGTGCGGGTTACGGTGAAAGCGATTGGGAGGGGTTGGGTGATGGTGGGTGGAGGCTTAGAGGGGGAGGCTGTAGGGTTGGAGATGGGGGTGAGGGGAGGTCGCGAGGTTGGAGTGAAGAGGTGGGGTTTTCTACTGTTCCTGGGTTTGTTTGTTTTTGGGTTATTTTTTTAATTTTTTGTTATTTATTTTTGTATTTATCTGATTTTAATTTTTTAAATTAATTTAAAGAGGAAAAATGATTACTTTTTAAGTTCTTGTCAGCCAAAAAAAGCCATGTTGGTGGTAAGATTCAATGTTTTCAATTTTAAAATTGGGTACAAATTCCTATAATAGTTTTCTTTAATGTTTAATTATTCTATTAATATTTGAATTCATATGGACAATTTTACCCCTCAATTTAACGGCAATATTAATAGACTTTAACGGTGGGATTGTTTTGATACCAAATGAACAGTTAATGGACCATTGAAATGAAAATTTTAGTTAGTGGACCAAAATGATACTAGAGCTAAAGTTGAGAGACAATTTCGGTCAATAATTCTAACTATTGACTAAAATACCGAGTTTATATGTAATTTGATGAGAATGGAGGCATTTGATTAACATGCAACATTTAGCCGCATGGGTATACTATTTTTGACATGGGGTAAAGCGGGCGCTAGGACATAGGCTGGTGGTCCCTCTTTTTATTATATCTAGTATAGCCGCTCGTCTATACTCGGGTTGTTTTTGGAAAAAATAAAAATAAAAAGCGTATAGACGAGCGGTTATGCTACGGTTTTTATTAAAAACAGTATAGCTGGGCGGCTATACTGTTTGTACATGTGGCAAAGCGGGCGCTAGGCTCTAGTGGGGGCGGATCCGCTGTCCCCAATTTGGTGTCCCCTTCGTGTCCCTTCTCTAATTATTCGACACATGTCATATTACTTAACAGAAAATTAACTTTGTTAACTTGTTTTATTTTATCATTAAGAAAAATCCTTTAAAAAATATATAAAAAAATCCCCGAGACAAAAGTGCAGTGAACTTAAAAACCAATACATCACAAAATGGAAGAGAGATGAGACATGAGAAATCACAATCCCTAAGAAGAAGACATCTGAATCACAAAATGAAACCAACTCATCTTTTACGTAACACAAATGCTAGAACGATGAAGAGACTGTTTGATTTATGAGAAAACAAAGGGAAGATACATGAGTGTTGAAATCAATTTGGAGGATTCTGAGCAAAAAAAGAAAAAACCAAGAAATCGATTTGGAGACGGAATCAACAGTCCAAAAGAACAGAAGCAAACTCCAAAACCCAAAGATAACTCCCAAAACAGTAGAAAACAAATAGAAAATTTGGACATCTTTAACAACAAGAAGCTCTCCACAACCAAGATTCATGTCCATGTAGAAACAGCCAAAGGCACCTCACAATCAACTCGCACTTGCTCTATGGTATCGAAGGGGCATTGACTTTGGCCCTTGAAGGCAATGGCCTAGGGTTACTGCTGGGATGCGTACGCTCCTTTACTTGGTATTTGCTGAGTTTTTAATTTTTTTTAATGTCAAAAATAAAAATAAGTTAACAGAGTTAACTCTCTATTAAGTTATATGACACATGTCAAATAACTAGAGAGGGGACATGAAGGGGACACCAAATTGGGGACAGCGGATCCACTCCCGGCTCTAGTTGGGTTCTCATGTCTTTTTTTAGTAAATAAGTATAGCCACTGGGCTATACTCGGATTTCTTTATAATAAAATGCGATAGCCGCTCGGCTATACTACGGTTTTTATTATAAAAAAATAGTGTAGCCTCCAGGCCGGTCATGTTTTTTTATTTTAAAATAAATGGTATAGCCGCTCGGCTGTACTCGGTGTTTTTGTGTGTGGCTAAGTTGTAGCAATAGTCCATGGACTAAGGCAAACTTTACTTTTTGTCCCTGATATTGTTAAATTGTTACGGTCTTACTTTAATTATGCCTCCACTTTCAGAAATCATAATTTCCGTCATCTCAGTCAACTTTTCCGTTAAACATGATGACATGGCAATGACAAGCAGTGGCGGAGCTAGGATTCTTAGTATGGAGGGGCCAAAATTTCAAAATCACTTCTACTAGGTTTTTCATCTTCAACTGGGAGGGCCATCACTAATCTAATTGCAGTAATTGTATTGCTATATCATATATTTTATAGTATATTACAAGAGATTAATAATTAAGTGGGGGGGCCAGGGCCATGGCAGGCCTGGCTGTAGCTCCGCCCCTGATGACAAGTCCTACTTGGCATGGGCAAAAAATGTCTTTGTGCGGATACTCAATGTTCAGCTATGATTGAAACTTTTATAGTCCAATGTAAATTTGTGTTCATGGTTGTAAAATGATAATAGGGTCATGAAATCTACTCCCTTAATAATGTCTATGTATGCATCTTACTTTTTAGCAGTCACAATATACCAAGCCAAGCCTAGGAGCATGGTTTCATAGTGGCACCAATGGAAAAAAGGACGAAGAAAGAAAAAAAATTAGGTATAAACAGAATAAAACATCCTTCCTTCCCATGCTCTGTATATAAAATGCTGAATTCAACCACAGATTGATATATTATAATATGCTAGGCCCTATCTGGCATATTTCTAGCTTCGTCTTCTAGATTTATTTAAGGCCCAGCCATAAACAGAAGAAAACATACTTCCCCTGTTTAGCTATATCTTCTGTTAAAAAATATACATTCTTTGTAATTGATTTCCATCTCTCTATACGTGCCTTTGTACTGTCGTTAATGTTTTGAGTTTCTTGATTTTTATGGATAAGCGGATCAATACGCCTGATGTCTTTTTTACTACTTTATTATACGATTTTCAAGGATTTTGCCATATCTCTCTCAATACTATATACATTGAGAGCAACAGCACAAAAATGAAGAAGCAAAATAAGCAGCACTGTGAATATATACAAACAAAACGAAGAATCCCATGCATAAACAGAATAAAACATCATTACATAATGTCACACGGTATTTCAAGGAAAACCGGGTGGCCGGAGCCGTGTGTGGTGGCCGGAGCCTTGTGTCAGAGAGAGAAAGAAAGTGGTGGCTAGGGTTTGTGAGAAATAATTTCTGCAGAGTTTCAGTAGGAATTTAGACGTACCTTGACCTTTGTGCGTAGCCAAGTATTTATAATGGTCTCGGAGATTAGGGTTTCAGAGGATTAATTCCGTAGTTGGTAAGGAATTATTCCTCCCTGATTTGGCATTGATTTGATTAATTAGGGATTTGATTTATTTGGGTAAATCAAATCCCTAATCGTGGTAGGTATCAGATCAAATCCCAACTTAATTAGGTAACTCCTCATTTAATTGGGAATTGGGGTAGGAATCAAATCAATTCCCAACTTAATTAGGTAATTCTCAATTTAATTGGGTAACTCCCAATTAAATTGAGTAACTCCCAATTAGGTTGAGTAATTCCCAATTAGGTCAAATAATCCCCAAATGGAAGGAATTATTTGACCTAGGGTATGATTTAATTCGGTTCCCACACATATCATCACCAAGAAGAACATTGCTTGGCTTTAGATCACAATGAACAATGGTTGTTTCACAAAGGTGGTGGAGATGATCTAATGCAGAAGCAACATCAATTGCAATATTGAGCCTTCGGATAAGGCTCAATCTCTTACTTTGAGATTCATCATCATCTCTTGGATGCAACCATGAGTCTAGACTTCCATTTTCCATGAACTCGAAAATTAGACTATTGAAGTTATTACCCTGATTATCAATGCTCGAGCATGCACTTATGATCTTGAGAAGATTACGGTGTGGTAGTATGCTTCTTAAAACTTTGCATTCATCAATGAAACTCTTGGAAGCTCCTCGTTGTTGAAGGTTGAATACCTTGACAGCAACTACCCTCCCATCAGTAGGAAGTACTCCTTTGTAAACAGAACCAAAACTTCCTGAACCAATCAGATTGTCCATAGAGAAACCGCCAGTTGATTGAACGAGTTCTAAGTAAGAGATTGATTTCCAACCCTCATAAGAACGTGAACCTACAGGCCCACCTCTTGACTTTTTCACCTTTGAGCGAGCCACAATGAAGCATGACAGAGAGATTATGAAGGCAAGTGCACAAGCTATAGGGATGACTACCTTTGGGGCAAGTAGTCGTTGAGATGAATGGGACTTTTTGATGGAGCAGGCATGTAGACGCAATTTTGGGAGGCCACCACAAAGCCTATTGTTTCCAATAACTGAGAGACCACTTGCATTTGAAAAGATCCCTTCTTTAGGCAATTCACCCTCAAAATCATTATAAGAAAGATTGAGATAGTGAAGAAACGGAAACTTGCCTAGAAATTCTGGAATCTGCCCTGATAAGTTGTTGCGTGAAATATCTATTTCTTCCAAACTTCTTAAATTTTTAAGGGATTGAGGAATTGTTCCTTCAAATTCATTACCTTCCAGACGCAAGTGCATCAACATAATACAATGGCCAAGGGTTGTGGGGATTTCACTTGATAACTTATTTCCTGATACATCCAGCTCCACAAGATGTATCAAATCACCCACTTCAGATGGTAATGAACCAGTCAAATAATTGTTAGACAAGTACAAAGAAATTGAAAGGGATGAAATCCCCACAAGCTCTCTAGGTATGGTGCCTGACATATTGTTGTTAGAAAGGTCAAGTTCAAGTAGACTTTGGCAATTCCCAATATTTGGAGGAATACTTCCCGCAAACCTATTTTCATACATGTAGAGTAGTGTCAATGAAGTCAAGTTGCCTATGGAGGACGGTATCAGCCCAGAAAATCTGTTAGTACGCAGATTCAGGGTCACTAACTTTTGAAGCTTCCCAATTCCATCAGGGACAATACCACTCAAATAGTTCTGTTCCATTCCAATAACATTCAGGCTTAAAAGATTTCCAATGTCATCAGGGATGCTTCCACGTATCAAATTTCTCCCTAAAACAAGAGAATTTAGTTGGGTAGAAAGGTTGCCTATGGATCTTGGCAATTCTCCTTCAAAATGATTATTGTTAAGAGCCAGCGACTGTAGGCTGGTACAATTAGCCAAGAAGCTGAGAAAATTTAAGTTGCCAGTTTTCCCACTTTCTAGCCTATTGTGAGAAAAGTTTATCCAAACTAATCTTTGCAACCTTCCAAGATTTGCAGCAGGGAGTGTTCCAACGAGACCATTATAACCCAAATCAAGCGCCCGAAGTCTAGAAGAATTTGAAAACGATGTAGGAATAGTTCCTGTAAATTTGTTGAGACCGCCGGCAAATAATTGGAGATTAGGAAGATTGATGCCGATATTTGGTGGTAGCTCTCCATGCAGTTGGTTATCAAGAACACTGAAAAGGGACATGGAAGAAATATTATATATTGAAGAAGGGACCATACCAGACAGATTATTCGAATCAAGTCCGAGACTCTCCAAGCTTGTCAGACGCCCGAGCTCATTAGGTATGCTTCCATGAAAATTGTTTTGACCCAAAAGGCTTTTCAAAGATGAAAAGTTTCCAATCCAATTTGGGATGGTTCCAGTAAGATTGTTAATAGTAAGCCACAGGTGATTTAAACTCATCAATGAACTCAGTTGATCTGGAACGGAACCAGTAATCTCATTATGTTGAAGATCCAGCATGCTTAGTTGTGTACAGTGAGATATATTAGTCGGAATTTTCCCGCCGAAGGAGTTGTAAGACAAGTTTAGAGAGCGCAGGCTTTGAAGACGTCCCATTTCTTGAGGAATTTCACCACTAAAGCTGTTGTTCACTAGGTTGATTCCAGTAAGGTGAGAAAGATTTCCAATTGAAGGTGGTAAGGATCCTACCAGATTTTTAGAATTGAGCTTCAAAATGATGACTCTATTGGTGGAATTGTTGCATGTAACACCAACCCAACTGCAGAAATGAATGGAATCATTGTTAAACGTAATGCATTTGTATCAGTTATTAAAGTAGAGTTGTATCTCCTGAGAAGAGTTATGTTTAAGAAGAGTTGTATCTCTTTAGAAGTCAAGAGTTGTGTCTGCAACTCTTGGAACTAATCCAAGAGTTATGTCTGTTATGAAAAGATCTGAATATTATTATAAATAGCCAATAAGATGGCCTAGTGTTGTAATCAATTTTTAGGAAATCAATAAAGCTTCAGTATTTCTGTTTAAAACTCTCTTCCATATTCTCTCTTATCCATCTTTCTCCAACAA